GTGGTTTGCGGGCTCGGCCGCGTCGCCCTGGCCAGACATGCCCGCAGCGCGGGGGCCGCGCTGCAGCGGCAGCCGCTTTGGCAGCCAGGCTGGAAAAGATCTGAGGGGTTCCCTGTGCTGCGACGCGCTGGCAGCGCTCACGTCCCTTGCAGCGCCCTGCCTGTTCCCTCCCTGAAGTGGGATGTGGAGGGACCCGGCTCCCCAGTGTGAGCGGCTCGTTCTGCAGCTGGGACCGTTTCTTTAGGCCAGAAGGAGCCCTGGCACATTGGTTTTCCATCTGATCCTGCCAGGAGATGTGTCACACTCTGCCACTGAGCGTGGCAGAGTCCTGCCGGGCTCCAGATGCTGAGAGCCAAGTCTTCCCTGCAGCCCAGCTCCCTCTTCCGTGAGTGCCCAGTGCTTGGTCATATGGGGATGGTTTTCTGGAACATCAAGGAGGAATCTAAATGCTTGACTAATATGATCCAGTCCCTGGCCAATGCCATGACAACAGCAAGCACGGAAAGAGATTTCCAACCTTCTGCAGATGTTGGAAATTCCTTGGGAGACCAGAAGTGCTGCGCTAGGGCGGACAATCACTGCGAGCCCTGCTGGGCTTTGCTTCCCGGGAGAGTGGCTCAGTTTGAGCAGAGCGCTGAAAGATCCCTGCGCTGCTGCAGCAGCGTGACCAATGAGCTCGTTAGAGGCTGCTCTTGTCACTGGTGTGAGATGGTAAATCTCTGCCTGCAGCGCTGGATTCTGTCTCAGAAAGTCACAACTGAGATACCCAAAGTGATCTCTGTTCTGTTCTCCCTTCCCTGCAGCTCCCCAGCAGCCGCCCAATCTCATGCCCTGGTTTCCTGCAGACATTCTGACCTTCGGCGGCGTTTCTGCAGCTTCCCTGCTGCTTGGGGTCCAGCTGAAGCGAAGCCCTGCACTGCTGCTGCCGGGAGCACTTGCCTGTTCCCCTAAAGCTGAGTGTGTCTCCATCTCTTTGCCAGGGCCCTGAACAAATGCAGTGTTGAGGTGTACAAGAAGGTGGGGATGCTTTACCCCGAGATGAGTGTCCATGAGCGCTCCCTGGACTTCCTGATCGAGCTGCTGCATAAGGACCAGCTGGATGAGACGGTCAACGTGGAGCCCCTGACCAAAGCTATCAAATACTACCAGGTAGGATCCGTGGAGCCAGGAGCCCCAACACCAGGGCATTCCCGACGGGCAGGGCACGGACCTGGCTGCATCTCTGCAGCACTTCAGCAGCTGCAAGTTGTGCCCTCGGGTACCGTGTTCATGTGGCGCATTGAGAAGCAGTCTTGGGATAGCAACTCTTGGGATAGCATGTGTTGCACCTGGGTGTGCAGGACTTACACCTGCAGCTCTGGGACTTGGGGGCTGCGTCCTCTGTTCCTGGGGGGAGAGAGGGAGGGCAGAAAAAATAATGACTTTCCTGCCCTCGATTCCTGTACCGGGATGTTGAGGCCGTTGGCCTTGTCAAACTAAAGGCCACCAGTGCTCCCCTGGAGGACAACAGCAGCAGATCAGGGCACCTGGTCAGACTGTCACCACAACCGCTTTCGCTTCCAGTACAAAAATAGGCCAAACTGTCAGCGTTCCTTTTGTTTTGCATTCCTTGGTTTGATTGCTTTGCTTGGGTGTGTGGCGACACTCGAAGGATGCTGAGTTCTGGTGCCCTGTCTCTCTCTTCCTGCAGCACCTGTATAGCATCCACCTGGCTGACCAGGCTGAGGACTGCACCATGCAGCTGGCCGACCACATTAAGGTGATGTGTAGCAAAATAATTTGGCTCTTTCTGTTGCACGTTTTCTGCCTTTTTGTCTTTTGCTCCCCTGAGATTGTTCTGTGAGTTGAAGTACTTCTGGTCTCCCTGTTGCAGTCATATTTTCTCCTGTTCCCTTTGGGTGTTGTGTCACATGAGTGATGTGGGTTCCCTGGTTAGGGAAAGGGGAAAAAGATGCGAGGCATTTGCCCTGCAGACACGCAGGTAAGCAAGAAAGAGGAGCAGCAAGGAAAGTGCTGGAAACCTGTGTCCAAGGGATGCGTTGTCCTTTCCTAAGCCCTGGGGAATCAGCACTGCGTCCTGTGCCCCAAGGGGCAGAACAAGAGCCTAGTGACTGCCTGGGCCGTTCCCTGCTCCAGGAGAGCCCGGCGTCGCGGCGGGCGGCTGGCCCCGGGCTCACGGTGCTGCGTTGTGCCCACAGTTCACGCAGAGTGCCTTGGACTGCATGGGCGTCGAGGTGGGCAGGCTGCGCTCCTTCCTGCAGGTAGGTGCTGGCGCCAAGCCGGCTCCCTCGCGCCTGGCCCAGCGCCGGTGCGTTTGCCCAAGGCGCTCTCTGCTTCCTAGGCTGGGCAAGAGGCTTCCGACCTCGCCATCCTGCTCAAGGACTTGGAGACGTCGTGCAGCGACATTCGCCAGTTTTGCAAGAAGATCAGGCGCCGCATGCCGGGGACGGACGCGCCGGGCATCCCCGCGGCGCTGGGCTTCGGGCAGCAGGACAGC